TCCCACCCCCGGCCCCCAGTTCTCGGTGTACGTGCGCCACCTGCCCTCCACGCCCGCGGCCATGTTCAAGGGCCGCAAGCGGCTCACATGGATCGCCATACAGGTGGGGCGACGGCTTCTGTTGCATCCAACAGGGTTTATCATAGGGCAAGACTATGCATCATCATCATATTATTATTTATGTCAGGTTGTGATGTCGTTCTTGTCAGCACGACTGCGAGTCCTATGATGAGCTGGTTAATGCTTCGAGGTATGCTGGCTGTTTGTAACGGCCTCCGAGGCAACTTGCCAGACGGAGCAGTCCCGCATCCGAGCCGCGTCCCTGCCGCCCTCTCTTCTGACCTCCAGGGCAAGTTCAAGCGGCCGCTGTCGCTGGACAGCGTCGTGTTCGGCCAGGAGTTTGGGAAGCCCTTCAAAAACCTGCCCGCGCCATGGTGCGACACCCCCAGGCCGCAGGCGCCCAAGCCGCCCCTGCGCCCCGCCGCGGCCCCGCTCAGTGGGGCGCCCGGCGCGCCCTGTTCATCGCGCCCCGCGCCCGCTCGCGGCCTGCGGCCTCTCACAACAGAGCGTCGCCGCGCGCGCCGCTCTCGCCGTCGAGCGGAGTTCACGGACGACTGCCTCGCTTTCGAATCGCCCCCGCAGGTTCATCGACAACGTGCTGCTGCCCCTGGCGCGGAAGATCAGCCCGGCCATCCGCGTCGGGACCCTGGACGCGCCGTACCTCTGCTCCCCCCTGATCACCGCCAGCCAGGTGCTTCGCCGTTCCTCCCCTCCCCCCCACATCAAAACACACACACTCTCTCTGTCTCACACACACATTGATTGACCTTGCACCCAGGCCTCCCCGTCTAGCGACCTCCAGACCGGCCCCCATCATGCGTCCTCCATTGTGATCTGCACGCCTTGCCTCTCCTAGCCCTCGCCGCGGCTGAGCTTGTTTGCTTCCGCCTGCAAACGCACACGGGGCGCTTGCAAAGCCTGTCACGCCGCTGCGTCGCCGACCCCTGCCTCCATCACCACCAGACGCAGCCGACCGTCGTCGACCATCTACAACCGTCTCCAACCGCCGCCAACCGCCGTTAACCACCCCGCCAGGTCATCAACGTGTCTGTTGAGGGGCAGGAGCCGGACATGATGGAGGCGCAGGAGGACATGAGGGTCTTCTCACGGGCCCTGCAGAAGGGGGGTGAGCGTTCCAGCGGGGAATCATCAGTTGGGGCCGCGACTGGCTTTGCATGCGCGAGTGTGCGAGCGTGTGGGTGCTCGTGTGTGCGCAAGCGATCTCTTGTGCGGGTGTGTGTGTGTGTGTGTGTGTGTGTGTGAGAGAGAGAGAGAGAGAGAGTGTGTGTGTGTGTGTGAGAGAGAGAGAGAGAGTGTGTGTGTGTGTGTGTGTGTGTCCGTCAGGGTGAGGGCGTTTGTTGTGTAAGCTCATGTTTTTGAATGCAACTGCGATCTCACGTGTGCTTGCGTTTGTTTACGGGCTTTGGGGCAAGCCGGACACACATGTTGTTGCGTCTGCGCCGCCAACTTAAATCTAGCTGCTTAACCAATGCACAATGGACGCGGCTGCACGGCCTTGCGCGCAGGGGAGCCGCTGTCTGTCCAGGCGCGCCGCAAGCACTTCCAGTCCTCAAAGCACCGCGCGGGCGCCAGCTTCTCCACCAACCACGTCTGGACGTTCCACCTCTGGCAGGCGAGCGGTCGGGGGAGGGGTTGGTTGAGGGGTTGGTAGAGGGGTTGGTAGAGGGGGAGCAACGCGCTTTGCGGCGGGGCGCGGCGCGGGCGGGGCGGGCCGGCGGCGGCTGGTGTCTCCCTGCCTTGGCTGCACTGGCAGGCTCTTATTCCACATGGTTGGACCCAGGTGACCGATCGCCTCCAGAAGCTAGCCTGTGTCTATTTTCGAGCGCCAAAAACGTACTCTCAAAGCCGCCCCTGGTGCGGAATCATCCTCCACCCCAGGAGTTCATCGATTACGCGGCCTACATCCTGTCGCTGTCTTACTCATCCTACGACCTCACCCAGCACCTGGACGGCCAGCCGCTGCAGGTGCGGCGCGGTGCTTTCCCTTTGACAGGGCGCGTTTTTGCGTGCGCCTTGCCTCGCGCCCCTGGTGCCTGCGCGCGCCCCGATGGCGGCTACTTGCGCGCATCCATACGGCTGCCCGGCGTGCCGCCGCCCTCGATGGCAGGCCTCGGAGATCGCGGGGCCCCAGGCCCGCGGAGCGTGTCGGTGTCTTGCCGTTTGCGGCTGGCGTGGGCGCCGGTCCTTGCGCCACTCTGCTCGTGGCCAGCCGGCGACGCGATGGGGCTGCGTTCAGGGGTCTGGGGCCCCTTCAAATATTGCCATCCTCCAAACAGTCAGGATTTTGGCCTGGCCCTCCTCGCAAGTGCCATTTCTCTTGATTCAAGGCCGCCCAAGCTGTGGCCGCAGCTGCCCCTTGTGTGACGTCATCGCATCCCTGAACCCCTTCTGTGCCCCCTGGCCAAACCCCACCCCAGTTCATGATCAAGGACAGCGCCAGCGGCAGGCACCTGCTCAACCTCAGCGCGTGGCACATAAACATGGCCCGCGCCCTCTGCAGCAGGGAACGGCGGCGCAGGTGGGCGCGCGGGGGGCGCCGGGCGCCGGTCGCGGCGGTTTGGCGGGGTCAGGGGGCGATGCTCTCTGCCTGCCGCGCCTCGCAAATGCGTGCATTGACGGTTCCCCTGCTGCTCCACCTGTTTTGAGGACATCATTAGTTTAAGGCCATGCAGCAAGCCGCGAGCCTTACGCCAATTCTGCCCCACCCTCTATGCCCCCCTGTCAACCTGCTTGTGTCAGGTTGCGCGTGCCGCGCGGTGACGACGGCCAGACGGGCCACGACGGTCGCGCGAACAACGCCCAGCCCATATCCCCGATGTCTCAGGAAGTTCAGCAGCAGCAGCAGCAGCAGCAGAGCCGCGCCAGCACGCCGACCCCGGGCCCCAGCCTGGGCGGTTGGGGCGGCGAGGCGGCCGGCGGCAGCGGCGACGGCGGCGGCGGCGGGGGCCAGCAGCAGGCGCCGCCGGCATGCAGCCGGCAGCTGTGGGAGCAGACGTCGTCGTCTGTCGAGGCCAGCTCACCGCGGGCGTCGATCGACCTGAATTTCAACAGAACTGGTCAGCAGCAGCAGCACCAGCAGCAGCAGCAACTGCCCCCGCCCCAGTTCCAGCAGCCCCCACCCCTCACGGGCAACAGCAGCATCGGTAACACCAGCAGCTGCCAGTCAGCCGGCGCGCCCCCGCCTGCGGCACACGCCGCGCACACGCCAAGGGTCTCGTCCCCGGGCGCCGCCGCGGCGGCGCTGGGGGCGTTCTTCAGGCCGGGGTCATACTCCCTGCAGGGGCTCGGGGCCAGCAGCCCGCGCGGGCTGGAATCCGTGTCGGAGGCGCCTGTCAGCGGCCTGGCGGGCAGCGGCAACAGCGGCGACAGCAGCCTTTCGGCCAGGACGCCTCCCGGGACGCCGCCGCCGCAGGGCCGAACGCCGGCCGCAGCGGCGGCGGCGGCGGCGCCGGCGCCGGTGCCGCAGGCGGCGACTGGTGCCGGGGCGCAGGCGCCGGCGGTGGCGGCAGCCGTGGCGCAGCAGCAGCAGCAGCAGCAGCAGCAGCAGCAGCAGCTGGAGCCAGCACACCCCAGCAGCGCCGCTCCCGCGCTCCGGCAGACTTCATCGCTGTGACAGCGGCTGTTTTGAGAGGGGAGGCACCCCGTCTGGATGGGCACTTTCTTGGCAGGGGCGGTGCATGGGCGCCGCCCATCATTGTGCTGCACCATCCCAAAATTTCTGCACTTCGACGCCAGACCAGGGTACAAACAGAAATCCAAAGGCACCGCATTCACTCCAGCAGATGGGCGTTCGTTTCGGCCCAGCCGACTTGGGTCACCAAAAGCCATGACTCATTAACCCAGCAGGGTTCGACTTTGGTTTCACACGATGGTTTCGATTTGGTGGGGAACCAACCTCTGCAGTGTGCTAATGGTGTGCTGGATTGGCGCCGCGCGAGGGTCGCCTGGATAGGGGACGGGTGTTTTTTCGAACTCGCTAGCCCAAGCATATGTGGCGAAGGCGCACGCGGGGCAGCAGCGCCAGTGCGGCGCCCTTCCTGCCCTTGAGTCACCCTTGCCCGAGTGTTGACGTAGAAATTAGCGTCCGGCCTCTGCCCTAGCCTCGGCATTGGAGTGTGGTTGGAGGCTTTGCCGGGCGGCACAGTTTGCGACAGACAACATCGGCCTTCATCATCCGGCTGGCGACCACAGGCGCCCCAGCGGCGGGGTTGCGAAGTCCTGCGGTTCCAATGGTCTGGCACGTTAGGCGCAGTGGGAGCTGCGTCCCTCGTTTGCAAGTCTACTGGCCAGAATTTCCATGCGACCACATGTAATGCAGAGCTTTGGCGGTGACGTGGTGTCTTGTTGGTTGTGATAGGCAAGCAGCCGGCACCCCGCTCCTCGGCTGACTGCGCTCTGCAGTCGGGCGCCGGCGGCGCTGTCAGTCACCAGTGCAGAGTGGATGAATTGTGGTGTGTCTGCCAGAATCGCAGCAGGCTTTCTGTAATTCAGTCCTTGTGAACGTACGCCAATCGTGATGCCATACAAGCATACCTGCTGTCGTGGGCGACGAGTAAGACACTGTTGACAGCAGCTGCCGTGCGCGTGGGGCCGGTTGGTGCGCACCTGCACAGCTACGGGCCGCCAGCTGGCCGTGCTGTGGTGATCGCAGGCAATACAACCGCCAGGCCTGTGGGGTGTTGCGGCTCGGTTCGCTAGTGGACGCACACGTCCCAGTCTTGACCATCGGCAACCGATCCAGACTGACCTCAAAAAGAGCCATCCTTCGGCCCTTGTCTGCATGCCCCCTCCCCTGCACGCAGACCTCCCAAAAGGGTTCATGCTCAAGGGTAATGCATGATGCAGCACTGCTGGCAGATTGCAAGCAGCATGCATGGCTGCCAAGGTCTAGCAGAGGGCTGCAGGGCCCCACACCTTGGCACGTTGTGCGCACCACCAGCATGCGCGTCGGGCGCCCATCTCGTGCACATGCCTGAGGAGCTGCAGATCAGCAAACGATGTTGTTATGGCGCTCTGCCGTCGAGCCGTCGCTCGTGGCGTCCGCGTCCGGCCCCGCCCACCACTGTCCAGTGTTCTGGCTTGCCCAGGGCTTGCATGCCACGCAGCGCCGAGGGCCTGGCGCGCTCCGCTGTTGGCACCAGGGCCTCGGCCCCATCGGTGAGATCTCGAAAAGAGCGGCAGCCGCAGCAAGCTCTCGCTACTGGCGCCGTGTGCTCGCGCCAGCGTGTGCACGCGCCGAACGTGCGCCGTGATATGCGACCGTGGGCATGCTCGTCTCTGCACCAAGCTGTTACAGCACGTGTGGGCGCGCAAAGGATGATTCCGGGCTGAGCGTACGCACCAGGTGACCTCTCCACGAGCTGCTTGTTGCAAATGAAAAGGAAGGACTGTTTTGCGGCTGCCATGGCAAATCCGCAAATCAAACACCGGTTCGGCGGCTATCTGCAGGGATCGACGCCTTCAGCCTGCGCTGTGGCTACACGGCATGCAGTGTTTGAGGTGCCGGCGAAATTGCAGCCACACAAACAGACAGCCCAGACAGTCATACAGGGCACAAGGAATGTCGCGGCAACACCTGCAAGCACTTGCAAACAACAGCGACAGCACACGTAAACTGCAGAGGACTGCAGTGGCAGCAACCACATTGTGATTTGAACGCTGCAATTGGCGCGCACTGCACCAGGCAGCAGAGACAGCGTACTCTTGACGCTCGCGCCGCCTTTGTGACGTTAGCCCGACGCCCCGGCGACGTCAGCACACCGCGTTGGTGACGTTCGTCACCCGCGGCGTCATCACATTACGGGGGATTCGGTGATGACGGTGCCGCCGTACTCTGTGCGGATGAGGTGGCTGGCCCTCATAAGCGCGTCCTCCACCTTGCGCTCGGCGTCACCCGGCGTCTGGGACACGAGCAGCAGCTCCGCCTGGGACGCGAGTGTGGGCGCGCATGCGCGCGTGTGGGCGTGCGTGCGCGCGTGTGATTTAGTTCAGGCTTTGCGATCGTGGGATTGTATGTGTGTTGATGTGTGCCCACACGGCACCGACTCCAGTCGGGCAATGTGTTCCCCGCGGAGTCGCATTCTTTGCCGCAATGTGCGCACGAGCCCTTGGGATGCTGATGCAATTCAAACATTCTCACGTCCGCCCCACCTTGACAAACAGCTCGACAGAGTCCTCTGTCAGCCGCATCAGGCTGACTGACACCGGCGGCGGCCGCGGCGGCGCCTGCTCGTGCTCGTCTTCGTCCTCGTTGCTGCCCTCGCCCTCGCCCTCCCCCACCTCCTCCCGCTCCTTTTTAGCCTTCTGCTCGGCCTTTTCCTGCTTCTTTTTCTGGTTCTTGTGCTTCTGCTGCTGCTGCTTGTTGGGCTTCTGCTGCTGCTCAGGCCCTTCATCGCCCTCTGCGCCGTCCTCTTCACTCTCGTCTGCCCGCGCCCTGGAGGCCTCCGCCTATGGGGTGGTTTTGGGGGGATGGCGAGGTGTTGTGGGCAGGCGTCCAGCTGTGGGCGTGGGCCAATGCACATGCTGGCGCACAGCAAGGCTGCAAACCAAGGTGGAGCACGTCGTTCTGCAATCCTGCAACTACGATTGTTCCACTATGAGTCCATCATAGGTAAATATGATTAGCAGGAGCCCAATCCAAGCACCCTGCCGGCCGCGCCCTTCTCACCAGGTGCGCCGCCACGGCGATGGCCGCCTCGGGCGACTGCAGCGTCGCCGCCGCCGCCTCCGCCGCCGACGGCTTGGGCGTCCTCGAGCCGCTCCGCGAGCCGCCGGCGCCGTCGCCGCCGCGCCCGTCCCCGTCGCCGCCGAACAGCGGCGCCCCCTCGTCTCCCGCCGCCGCCTCCAGATCTTCGACCGCCTGCTTCGGCTCGAGCAGGGTGTCCACCGCGTCCGACCTCTCTTGGTTGATGATGTCAGCAAGGAACTCAATGATCGACGATCTGATGTCGTCAATAGTATCCTCGTTCTCGCGCTTGATCTGGGGTAGCGGTTTGAACGCGATTGGAAATGGGGGTCAGGCAGGGCATGCCAGCAAGGCGGCGCCCCTTCCTTCAACTGATTGGAGTCTCCCAGGGAAGCGCAGCAATTTCATCTCCTAGGGACTCCCGGGGGTGAGGGCGCCCCCGGCCCCCCCTTGAACAAGGGGAACCGCATGCCCCAAGCCAGCAGCCCGGCTTGCTCTGAACCGACCGACCCCCCCATGCGTTTCAAAACTTTTATTGCACACAACGCAGTGCGCTTGTAACTACTGATTGGCTAAAACCCAATCGGGCCTTGCCTTGATCAGGAAGGTGAGCACCCTGTGCACAGGCGGGCTCGCCACCGGGCTGCCCGTGCCGGGC